ATGGTCTTCTCACAACAACCCTGTTAAGTAGGCTAAGCTAAGATGTAAGGATAGTGTCAGGGACTGACTGGACACTGAGCAGTGGTGGCTGGATACTGATGTGTGGGCACTGAGAGAAATGGGGTTGAAGACTGTCTTGGAAGAAGAAGGGATCAGTGATCTGTAACTGCGAGAACAGGTGCAGGAGAGAGAGAGAGAGGGAGAGAGAGAGGGAGAGGTGTCAGGCTGTTGCAGGGTCAAGGGCTTTCACACCTCCTCCTTCTGCCCCTGCCTCCCAGGACCAGGCAAGGATGGAAGAGAGAGGAGCAGAAGCAGGTTACACACAGACAGTGTCTTCACCTACTCGTGTGTAGCCTGGGTGGGGTGAGATACATAAACTGAGGTCAGGGTCAGGGCCTCTCTGTTGCAGCAACTGCCTCATCAAGTTCTCATCTATGGGTAGCTGAGGGACATTGGATTGGTGGACATGCCTTTCCGTAACTTACACAAGTGTACTTTTGTCAATGAATAGTTAATTCCTCACTCTGGGCATTCCTTGCCTGGCAGTGCTGTGACACACAGGCCAGACATATAGTGACCTTTGGTGCCAAATGGGAATCTGAACCTAGGTCTCTGTAGTCCATGCCTCAAGGCTAGATCACAGTAGCTCTCCTACTGGTAATCACAGGGAGCAGCCTAAGACCTGGAGAGCATTCTTTTCCCTCGATGACTGCAATAGTGGGGTTCAGTTTGAGCAGTTGTGGTTGATGCCCTTTGGGACTCGTAGGGCAAAAGGCAGAAAGACCAACAGTAGGGGGAGTCAGAACCAACAACAGGCAGTACCAGCCAATCTTAGCACTTTCAGCTGTTTTATTTATTTAGGCAATGCACATTCCACTTAATCACACTTATCTCTAAGCAGTCGGCATCAAAGTCAGCCATACGACGAGGATAAAACCAGGCAAAAGCCATATAAATCTGATCTAAGAGAACTGTGCAACTGAGTGGGGTAATAGGATGGGGGCTTGCTGGAGCTTTCTTTCTGCACAACGTCCATCCCCCCCCATCTGCCAGCACCCACCACCCACAGATCTAGCCATGAAATTATGTGGCGTGCTGCCCTCTTTTCCAGCACAGAGGAGGTGCCAATTTGCAGGCGAAGCTCCAACGAAGTTCCCATCTGTAATCAGAGGCTGCTTTCACTCTCTCTCCTGCTCCCTCCCCCAGCCCTGCTCAGTCCAAAGGATTTACTTAAAGCTCCTGGTTATTTTTCATCCCTAACTGCTGTTACACTGACATCCTTAGATGCTCTGCTGGCTCCAGGCAACTCGCTAACCCCTTCCACAGGGATCTAAATATAGACCCCAGCAGCTAAGCAGAATTCACTTAGCAGCTTGGCTGTTTGGGGGCTGTGTTGGATCAACACTGGAACAATCTCCCTTTGGGACATGATGGGAGGTGGCGGCGGGGGGAAAACTCTGTGCAGGAGGCGAGATGAGGACCACCATCAGAGTCAATGGCATCCCTTTTCGATGCTTTTGTTTTACATCTCGCATTGACTTAAACTCTCACTTCTCTCTCTTGGCCTACCCGGCCTGAGATTCTGCCTTTCATTTGGTTACTGCCAGATCTATTCCAGTTCAATGCTGTAAGCCTTCCTCTTTATCACAACACACTGGGCGGGGGAGGGGGGGATGCAATAAAAAGTACCATAAGCGCCTAATCCCATGGCTCTGCAACCAGCGTAGTGAAGTGGCGGTTGGTTCCTATTGTGGCTGGTAGGGCAGAAGGCAAAGAGGTCAACAGTAGGTGGAGTCACAGCCAATGATGGGAAGAGCCAACCAATCCTAGTCTCCTGCCTATCCTCCTCCATGCTGCGTTATGGAAGATCAACACTGAAACATAGATTGTAGAGGGATGCTGAGGATCACCTGGTCCAACTCCCTATACAGTCATGTCTCTTGTTGTGTTTGCTTCACATTGCGGCTTTTCGGATTGCGAACGGCACCCCGGAACAGGTCGTGTCTGCAACTAGAGATGCCACTGTAATGCAGGAATATGCAGCTGTCCCATATGGGTATCGAACCTGCAACCTTGGCATTATCAGCACCATGCTTTAAGCAACTGAGCTATCGGCTGAGAACATGAAAACATAAAACAGCCTGCTGGATCAGGCCAATGGTCCACCTGTTCCAGCATCCTGTTCTCACAGTGGACAACCTATGGGAAGCACATAAGGAGGGCCTTAGCTCACTGGCGGAGGAAGAGGGGGGCGGGGGAGCGCACCGCCCCCGGCAGCGCAATCCCGATGTGGTGCCATCGCGGCGCCCCCTGCCTGTGCTGGGCGTCACGCCCCCGCAGGCAGCGTGCCATGCCCCCAGGACGCACACCACACCCCCAGGACACGTGCCACACCCCCGGGACACACGCCAGCCACAAAAATCTCCAAATGGGTCTGGACTTCAATGTCTAAAACTCCTGGTAGAGGACAAGGATCCAGAGATCACACTAAAGGTGGCCAAATTCTGTGCGACTGCCATAAAACTTAGGGAACAAACTGTACTACCAAAATGATTCAGGTTTTAAATGACAATTTTAGGTTATATTTTAGTGATCAAGTTTTATATATATTTTTAACTGCTATATCTGTATTGTCTCTGTTATACCCACTTGCAATTCAATGTATTCCTGTTGTGTTTTACGATTTTCCTGATATTGTAAGTGAGCTGGAACTGGTCTGTGACCGTAATAATAAAATTCATTCATATGTATTCATTCACACCAGCCATGCCCCCTCCTGCTCTCTGCCCCCCACACCCTCGGTGCTGGAGCATAAAGCTCCGCCACTGCCTGAGCTCAACAGCACTCTGCCCACCTGTGATTCTCAGCAACTGGTATTAAGCATCATACTGCCTCTTAGTGAAGGTGGAATATGGCCATAGCAGCAAGTAACCACTGATAGCCTTATCCTCATTGAATTGTCTAGTGCTCTTTTAAAGTGATCCAAGTTGGTGGCCATTGCTACTTCCCGTGGGAGTGAGTGCCATCATTTAACTGTGCTCTGCCGAAGGTACTTGATTTTATCTGCCCTGCATCTTCCAACATTCAGCTTCCTTGGATGTCCATGAAGTCTAGTGTTATTTGAGGAGTATAAAACTTTTCTCTAGCTGTGTTCTCCATGCCATGCCATATACATGCAGAACAGAAGATGGAAGGGCTCACGGCATCAACTCTCCTAGCGGTCCACTGCAAGCCATATCTTTGGATCCAGCACAGAAAGCAAGTCATGCTTCTCCGTCTCTTCCCAGTTCAGGACAAGACTGACCACAGGTCTATTGTTCTCTACTTCCTGCCCCCTTTAGCCCACCTTCCTGAAGCACCTCCAGCTTGTAATTTCTGTGGCAACCATCCCCTGTACTCATGCAAAGGGATACTTAACACTTGGCTAGAGACTGGATTGGCCACTTGTCTCCCTCCCTCTCTCCAGAATCCCACCCTACGAATATAAAACCACAGGCTTGGAGAGGACCCCAAATATGGCCTCCAGATTAACGTACTGCTCATCTGACAACGTGCCTCCTGTTAGCTGGGCTTTTAAAGTTTTCTGAAATGGTTAAAAAAGAGGGGGGAAACGTATTTATAAAAAACTGCAGAGAGGAGAAGTGCCACGTAAGGAGAAGTGGTACAGTGGTACCTCGGGTTAAGTACTTAATTCGTTCCGGAGGTCTGTTCTTAACCTGAAACTGTTCTTAACTTGAAGCACCACTTTAGCTAATGGGGCCTCCTGCCGCCACCACGCTGCCGGAGCACGATTTCTGTTCTCATCCTGAAGCAAAGTTCTTAACCCGAGGTACTATTTCTGGGTTAGCGGAGTCTGTAACCTGAAGCGTATGTAACTGAGGTACCACTGTACTTTTGAACAAATACCTGCACCCTCAACTTATGTGGGCATTATTCAAAACCAAAGGAAGCATGCTGTTCTTTTCGAAACATTTCTCTCTTCCCATATGCAGATTTTATTCATGTCTGTGCAGGAAGGGCTGTGGCTTAATAGTAAGGTATCAGCTCCAAGATTCAATCTTCTGCATCTGCAGGTGGGGCTGGGAACGTCCTCTGCCTGAAACCCCAGAAAGCCTCTGCCAGCCAGTGTCGGCAATGCTGAGCTGGATGAATGGCATGCTATGGGCACAGCTGGGATTCATATTGCAGGGTGGGGGTGGGGCAGGACACCCACCTGTCACCGTCCAGATTCAGCATGAAATGTCTCAACAACAGTTGTTTTAAATTGCTTTCTTTTGACCTCAAGAAAAGCCTGTCAAAAATCTTTCTACAATTTCTACTCTCAGTTAAGTATTTTTATTTATTTACTTGATGCCCACGCCCACACCCATATGGTTCCTATACTCTTCGGTTATTAAAAATATGTGTGTGTCTATACAGAGGCTTTATCTATACCAGTTCTTAACGTAACCATGCAATAAAATAAAATCCATCGATGCAGCGTCGTCAATGTGGACTTCTTGAATCAAGGGGTCAGCCCTAGAAGGAATAAGGGAAAAGACCTCGCGGGGTGTCGGCTGTTGGGCTGCACGTGGCTGGGCGCTTACCCCGGTGCAGGGGGCCAAGCGGCACACCTTGCAGGATGACGTCATACGGATCCAGCCACCTCGGCCCCAAAGCGACAGCAATGACGTCACCACCCAGCTGAGTGGGGCCAGCTGCTCCTGCAGGGCTGGGCAGATCCCTATTCCGAGCATTGTGAGGAATCACCCCGTGCGCGACGCAACGCAGCGCTGCTGCTCCAAAGGCCGGCAGCCTCTTCCCCGTCCGCCCCGGCGCTTCGACGCACCTGCCGCCACTGCGAGGCTCCTCCTGCCGCTCGGCGTCTGGCGCGTCCCAGGTGCGCTCAGCAGCGACTGCCAAGCCCCGCCCCGCCGACTCAAGAGGGAGGGAGGGAGGGGGCGCGGCTACGGCCAGGCGTTCCCGAGCGTGGGCGGAAAGAGCCGAAGAGGTGGTCAAGAGCCGGAACGTGCCGAGGAACTCCGAGCGGCTTCGGCAGGTAGTGCTGGGAGGTCGAGCCGAGGAGGCAACTTTGTCGGGATCTGAGCCGGACGGAGTTGCGTTTCGGGGGCCAGCGGCGTCATGGGAGCGTGCCTCGGGGTCTGCTCTTTGCTGAGCTGCGTGAGTGCCTTTTGCAACTTCTTTAAATATATAGATTTATAAGAAGAAGAAGAGAATTCTTAGAGGGGTGGGGTGGCGGAACTAATCCTTCTCTGGGCTCTTGGGTTGGGTCAGGCGTGCCTTCTTCTCTTATTTCTGCTTCGATGGCTGCTTTTAGTGGAATAAGGGCTGAGTCGCAGCCGGATTGGGGGTTGACAGCCCAGCTCTGCTTTTCTTCGGAGACACAATTCCCATTTTGTTCAGCGTCTCAACTAGGCAAGCCTTTCTTTGTTCGCCTTTTTAAAAAAAGTCGCTCTCCCTTTTACGCATTGCCTGCCTCTTCCGTCCCCACTCCCCAAATTGTGGATTTTATAGTATATATTTCTTGTCATTCTATTTATTATTCTGATGAGAATCATAAACTCTGCCGTTTACAGACTGACGATCACGCTCCTGTCTTTACTTCCTCTTGGAAAGCGTTTGCTCAAAGGACCGGCAGGTCTTTTGAAATCCTGGGCATACTCAAGCAATGCAATCCTGGTCGTTTATTTCATAAAATTTGTGCACCAATTGGTTGAGAAGAGAAAGAAAAGAAAACCCTCAAAGCGGTTTATGAACAAGTAAAACAAGGGAATCGAGGAAAAATGTACAGTTGCACATAAAAGCCCACAAAAGTTAAAATGCTAAAAGAGATTAAAATTGCCTCAACTTTCTAAGCATCTGCGCAAGCTGGTCTAAACTATCATGTTTTTAGCAGGCATCAGAAATAAACATATGACTCTCTGGGAGTAAACTCTGTAGAATTCAGTGGGGCTTGCTCAAGAGCAAGCAGTGAGAGGATCACAGCCACTCCTAAGCATGTTTCCTTGGACAGAAGTCCTGTTGAATTCAGTGGGACTTACTGCCAGGTAAATGGGGGTTAGTGTTGCGGCCCAAAGTTTAATTTCTTCCAGCGACCCCGAAGGCAGCAATGGCTACCAACCTAGATGGCATTCAAAGAGGACTGGAGAAATTTGTGGAGAAGGCTATTATTGATGGCTACTAGCCGCAATGTCTATGTTTTGCCTTCACAGTTGAAGGCAGTAATACTTCTGAATACTAAAACCACAGGAGGGGAGAGTGGTCTTGTTCTCAAATCCTGAATGGAGGTTTCCCATAGGTTGAGAACAGGATGCTGGACTTGATGGGTCACTGGCAGGATCCAATGGTCTTCTTATGTTCCTCACCCGATAGCTGAAGAACCACACACAAGTTGTGGCTTGACTACTGCAAAGAGTTGCACATCCGTAGTCCATACCACCAGTTTCCTGTCTTTCTTATTCTTGTGTTTGCTTTTTTTAAAAAAGACAGACAGACATTTAAGTTGCTTTTAACGTTATGGTTCTCTGTGTTATTGTGTGTATAAATTTGTTCTTAGAATTATTTCGTGCAAGCCGCATTATGTTATGGGGTGGCATGTTGTCAATGCTGTAAAATAAATGTGCAGAAAGAGAACATGCGATCAGATGCAAAGGAAGTTGTTTATTTCCTTTTTTTAAAAAAAATAATTTAAAATAAATACATTTGAGAAAACAGACATACATACAAGTAAACAAGCATACAACCAAACAAACAAATAATGTTTCCTTTATCCATATGAGTGGTGTGGATTTTGAAGTAAAGTCTTCAAGCTTTAAGAGCCGAGATCCACCTTAAACCATTTCGGGATCTTTCTGCATCAGGTCCATCGAAAGCTGTCCCTCTGCTTTCTGGACTAGAACTCCCATTATCCTTGGTCATTGGGACATAGCAAGCACCTTACACCGAGTCAAACCATCTAGCTTGGTATTGGCGACACTGACTGGCAGAGACTGTCTAGGGTTTCAGGCAGAGGGATGATCCAAGGTCTGCTAGGAGATGTTGGGGAAATTGAACCTGGGACTTTCTGTAAGCAGGGCAGGTTTTTCCTCTAGAGATGTAGCCCTTACCCTGCCTTGGGCTGATGGCAGATGGAGTCCACCAACATCTGAAAGGCTGTAGGTCCCCCACCTGCACTCTAAAGAGAGGAGGAGAATAAGGGCATGGATGATAATGAAACATCTTTTTGCTCCCTTGTTGCAGTTTGGGGTTTAAATGCAAGTCTGAAAGATTGGTGCATGTGAAAGGTTTTGCATCTTGCACTCTCCAAGGCTGGATAGCTTCTTCCTTCAGGAACAACATTTATGTAATAATTGATCTCTGGTCACGCAGTTTGTTTGTGTGTGTGTGCACACCTGCCTGCAATGTTGCTGTTTTGTTTTGACCCACCCACACCCAGGAAGGTAAAACCGGGGGTGTTGCTGGGAGGGAGCAATAATGCATAATATAGCAATTAGACAGGGTTGCTTGTGTGTGTTTGCACATTTGGGCTGCAATTCTATACATTATTATTATTAATTAAAATTCTGTACCGCTCTTCATCTGAGGGTCAAGGGTGGTTTACAATATAAAAACACAAAAATACATAACATAGTAACAACCAAGAGCAACAACGCCTCCCTACTTATGTGGAGTTAGGCCACTTGAATTCAGTGTACCTACTTTTGAGTAGACATATACCGGATTGTGCTTTTAGCATCAGTATTTGAGAAGCATTTAACTCACAGGTCACTCAAAAAAAGTTGACATTGTTCCCAAATTGAATAATTTTTACTGTTGCCAGGAATCTGATCTTGTTAAAATCAGAACAGGTAGTTCTCAGTCTTTCTTCTCCATGGCCCACTTGGAAATTGCTGAGGGTCTTGGCAGACCACTTAATTCACTGTGTTAAATGCTGTATGATTTTTTTTAAAAAATGGATAGATATTGTTGCTTTTATTTCTTATGTGTTGTGTATTACAGTCTGAATTGTAATACAATGAAGTGCAATACAATAAATGAAAGAAGCAATAAAAATACAATGCAAAATTTATACTATGGATTGTGTGATAGATGTTGCAGTCTCCTGCCACAAATCCATACACTTGACATGGACCACCTGAATGAAGCTCATCAACTACTGGTGGTCCTTGGAACTACAAGGATCAGATTTTATTGATAGTGACAGTAATTGCAGTGTGAAACCTACTGCATTTTTGTAGTTCTTTGGGTGCATGTATGCATGCAGTAGAGGCTGGTTTATGTGTCCTAGGTTTGTAAGTTCTTAGGGAGCGGAGATTTTTCTATGTTGCCCATGCCACTCTGTTAGGCCCCATGTACAGAATGGCTACTGCTGCTGCTATTATCATTTAATTTTTCATTAACAAACAGCAACTTTTGTAGCTTCAGATACAAGCTTGTGATTGATGCTGATTACATGTTGAGGAAGATTAGCCTGGTGGCCACAGAAAATTTCCTTTGAAGCCAACCAAGTTTGTTGCAGGCTTAAATTTACCCACAATCTAAAATAAAAAAATGTAGAAAATCCATTTCTTTAGTGGTAACCAAAATTTTTATTTTCTCTTTTTTTGGGGGGGGGGGAGGGATTTCCAAGCATCCTTTTGATTAAAAAGTGTTCCCAAAGCAAGGAACGGCAATGAAAAACAAGATGTGGTGGGCTGGATATAGATTAAGGATGCTGCAAGTGCGGAAGGGCAATAGTAGCTTAGTGGTAGAGCATATGCTTTGCATGCAGAAGGTCCCAGGTTCAATCCCCAGCATCTGCAGCTGGTTCTGGCCATAGCTGTCAACCGTCCCTTATTTGGCGGGAAAGTCCCTTATCCCAGCGCCGTGTCCCGCTGCTGTCCCTTATTGATGATGTCCCTTAAATTTCCCGGGTTTCAAAGGAAGTAGCTCCTCTCCCTCCCTGCCTCGGCCAGAGAGGAGGAAGGCTCCAACTGTGTTGCTTGGCTGCGTTGCTCACCCAATAAGGAGTCTAAGAACGACCAGGGGGTGGAGCTTGCATGCCTTGTGCCAATCAAATTGGCCACATTGCCTGGGGACTCGCCTTTGCTCAGTGCTTCCCAGCGGAGAGGTGACGGTGGTTTTCCTTGCTGCATCCTCTTTGCCGGGTTGCTGCGCTGTGGGAACCACCACTTGAGGCTTCGTTCGGCTGCTGGCTGGGCTTTCTGCCTTTGGCTTGGAGGGGCTCAGAAGTTGAACATACCTGTGCTCACAAAATCCCTTATTTTGGCTGCTGATCCCTTATTTTCAAATGTAAGTCGACAGCTATGGTTCTGGCAGAAAAAAAAAACTTGTCGGAAATCCTGGAGATCTACTGCCAGTTGGTGCACACCAGTCTAGACCTAAGCTAGTCTAGACCTAAGACCCACCTCAAACTCCCAACCGGGAACTTGTAGCCCACTTCCACATCTTCACTTTTGATTTACTACATGATGGCATTTCACTCCATATCACATGCTGGCATACTATTCCGCCTCCTTCAATACAAGTGAACCAATGTTTCCTGTATTGTTGGTCAGACTTTTGAGCCCTTTTAGTAGCTGTGTCCTCTTTTGAACCTTGGTGGGTTTTTTGCTTCCTCTCTCCAGCGAAGCTTGTGGTTGCTGTTGAGGAAGAGGGGAAGTCAACATCACCACGGGTGCTTGTGTTTTGTTAGCAAAGAAGCCTTTACGTCGCAAGGCGAAGCCATTTGCCTTGGGAGGCACATCCAACACTCTCCCTGCCCCTACCATGGTGCTGCTGCTGGCCCTGTGGCAGCTTTGCCCATGCCACTTCTGCTGCCGCCACAGCACCCTTGTCCTCACCACTGCGCCCTCACCGTTACGCCAGGGTAGCAACATAGCTGCAGCCACAGGTGAGGGTGTAGCCTCAGGGGTGGGGCTGGTAGCAGTGTGGGCATGACTGCATGGGGGGGAGCCCCCAGATCTGCTCTGGGGTGGTGGGGAGTTTTGCCTGCAGTGGCAAAACAACTTGGACTGCCTCATCTATCCCTTTCCACAACTTTCACAGCCTCTGTTCTTTCTGTGTCACCAGCAACTGCCTTTTTTCTCCTACCTTCTTTTGCTTTTTGTCCTCCATCACCTGTCTTGCCTTTGTTTTTACTCCTCTCGCCTTTCACCTTC